CATCATAAAATAACAGTGGAGTGTCGGTTACTGCAACACCAGGTCGAATGGAAAGCTATGGTCACGTAATACAGTTAATGAAGGAGGGACCCTTTTTACGTCTCGTGTTTTGCCCAGAATTGAGCGTATGATTACTTACTGTATTCGTAGAACGTGGCTTGATACGGGTAGTTATAACAAAAACACTCACACCAGTATGACACTTACGTACTTTCTATACCCTTTAAACTAGCTTTTCGGTGAAGAAGTGCGCGTACGATTCGTAATCGCTCCGCGTCAAAGGACCTCGGACGACTGCAGTTTTTGAGCTACACGAAAAGTGTCTAATTTTTAAATTGTTAACTAAGTTAATAACTGTGATGTTCACGAAGATCACAAGTTGCTTCACACTATTGACTATATTGATAAGCAGTATTCAAACGACCTGGGAAGGATTACTTATGTACTGTCGACAAGGGCTGCCTCGTTAAATCTATATAGAGAACAAGAAAACAGGGCTACTGATAGAACGTTGAGGTCTCTTCGCTCCATTTTGGTCTACAGTTTAGAGAAACTCTTGAAAGATAGCGTTTAAATTAGGCTTAGCAGTGAAGAGACAGTCGTTCAATCATCTAAGGAATTGACGGCTCGTATACATACGACTGATCTAGTTCAATAATGATCCCACATAAATCGACAAATAGATATTTTCCATTCAGGAATACTCAACTGGAGCTGAATATGAACGTTGTCCATATAATCAACAATACGGTCATAGATTCATTAATCGACATTACGGGTAGTGTACAGGAATCGCTGAATTGAAATGCACATAGATAGCATCTGTCGTTGCAATTCTTTTCCTAACATTATCAAGGGCAAAACACTTTGTCCTACGTCTGACATACTTGAGATACCTATTAATTTATGGCTGCGATAGAGATGCTGCTTAGTATACGCTGAGTTTCAACCATTTGATTGTCTCGCCACGACGTCAGACAGAAGCGCCAGTGGAGACTGTGCGTGGAGCAGCGACTCGAGACACATATAATTTAAATCTATATCGATCCAGGCTCTCTTTTAGATAAATTTTAGATTGACATACTATATAATTTACTTCTAACGCTCTAGTTTTTCATTCATGAGCATCGTCATACTGACGTGAGCTTTTCAAGCACGGGAACTATCAACTCCACAGTTTTAAATCATTGGGTTTAGGTGCTATGAAGGCAATCGCTGAAATAAATACAGTGCATCCTGTATAATAACTGTAACTGTTTAATCTAGCACTAAGCAGATTAAGATTATAGGATAAAATAACTATATACCATAAAAGTACATCGGCAGGCCTACAAGCACACTACCGTGATGTAGGAATAAGACGCAGTGAAAGGATCGATCCTTGTAGCTAACGAAGAAACTACGACATCAAGGCGCTAGGTTAGCATGAGGTTAATAGTTATCCTGGAAGTGTAAGATTATAGAGTTCGGGTTATTCAAACTATTACCGGTCATATAGGCTACGTGGGATGGTCGCATGGTGTTTCCGATGAGGCCTTGAATCTATGCATTTAAATAAAGCTTCTTTGTAACGCTAGTTGTCCGCTTTTAGATTTTCACTTCATTAATTCCTCATTTATTGATCGTCTAATAATTATCCGCTGTCAAGAATCGTTTATGTTCTGAGGGAGCTTCTGAGGAAGGTTTTATGAAAATGCGTATCGCATGTACGTCGAGCCTACATTAGCGTATCAGAAATAGTGTCCACTCTTATGAAAGTACTTTATGATTAGGGCAGCTGGTTTTGTCAGGCGATACTATATGTAATCTTGCCAAAACACGTTAAAGAAACAAATTCAATATGGCTCTTATACCCCCCGCCCAATGTTCAGCTCGCATGTTGTACAGAGGAATATAAAAATAAACAATAGAAATTTCTATCAGTGCAGTTCTGGGGTACAGGGGCTCCGTCTCCTTTACGGTGTCTATCGTACATAATTAGAATATGTGCGGCTGAATATAGAAGTCGAAGTTCCATTCATTGAGAGCAGTCCGCGTATCCTGAGGAGGAAGGACGGGATTCATTAGAGAACTTGGACTCTAATCAGGCTATAATAACAGTGGAAGTCTGACTATTACAGTCAATTGCAATGAATAAAATCTTGCGAAATTTCTCTAGGTGAAGTGGTCATGATCTTAAGATGCGCGAAATTTAATGACAGATACTTGGTCTCCCTAATCAGGGCAATAACAAGACGAAGAATTGTTGGCGGCTGTTAGACGTTCTATTTAGTATGATGATTTCGTAAACATGTAAAAATCTCTCATCTAAAGAAAAGCTTAGATGACTGCCTGGTAAAAGCTCTCCATCAATCTAAACGTTTTAGCGATGTTGTCAGAAATTCTCTAAGTCGCGCTTATCTTGCGTAGATCGATTTCAATGAATTAAAATTTCATATTCTGCTTTGCGTTTCGAGCCTAAATGTTATCTGCTAACCTGCAGGCCTCTAAGGCCCTTTAGCGGAACTAAGCACTCGAAGGCAACAGTCTTTCTGTTCCTCTGTGTATTGTGAAAGCAGCTATTTTGTATAGATCCAGCTGCTATTTAAGTGGGCCATCACTATATTATCACTGTTATTATTAGCAGCTTTATATTTCGCATGGTGTGGTATTGGAAGACTTACTACATTGTACTGTATATAATACATCGTGTTTCGTTAGCACCGCTTTATTGATCGAACACCATGAAAAGTTAAGTTTATAAGGTTGCCAGCGATATCCTACCGTATGTATTTATTTTCTACATTTGAATACTTAATAAATAAAACGATTTAAACAACGTTATTTTTTAGAGATAGGCCTCGCATGACTGAGAGAGTACCAGCGAGTTTCACAATTAGCATATAACAGTGCCTGCCTTTGGCCTTAAATTCGTTAATCTAATAACGCTATCACACGTGTATGTTAATAGCTAGCAAACATTGTGATTGCGCGTATTTAACTGGCTATCGAAGTAAAACATGTTACAACCCAGTGTCAGTCTTCGAGGAGTCTGTCAATAAGGTTTCGTTGTCAGTTTGCGTTACGTCCTTAGCGTGCGCCGTCCGTCACTAAAAGAGGCCAAGCGAAGCCGAGGCCCAAGGTGCAAGCAGATATCGAATCGACCGATAGTTAGGACTCAGCTACACGTGGCACACTATATCTGGAATCTAAACGAGCGAAACGTCCAAACCCCGTTTTGCTCGAAACTACATTAGGCAAATATATGAAAAAAAAAAACAAAACAATTATCAGATACTCCGAATGATATAAAATACATAATTTCGATTTAGAGGGTACAGGTATCTAATTTTTATTTTACAGAACAGATAAATTATCTTCTTTTCATGTAAGGATAGTGTTTATGATAGGAGAGAAACGTGATAGCAGGCCTTTGTGGAAACCTTTGGTGAAAGACGTTTTTGGCTATTTCATGTATGTAGGAAATCGATTCCGGGCTATCTACTTGTCGTTGTTGAAAACACAGAATAGATATGAGCAAACAGGGCTGTAACGTACACGGCTGAATTGAGCTTTTATTCATTGCACGTAGTTCGCTTTTATAATCGTGCACTTTATTCATACAAGGAACGAATCATTTCCAGTTTGTAGTCCTTTAACGAACACCTATTCACAACAATAACTTAGCTTCTGCAGATCTAAACAAATATAGAGGTAACCCTATATATAAATTCAACTTCCCGGCTGTCACTTATCGCCTGCTATTAATGGTGGCAGATGTTCCACATTTACATCAAACGAACCTATGTAAACGAGCCGAAACACATAATACGACTAAATAGGAAACGTGTATTCGTTTCGAGAGAGGTTGACATGTTGCTTTTACGTAATTACGCTGTGACTACGTATAAAGGCGAAAAAGGTCTCATTCAACTACCCGTAATTCTCTTTCTGAATATGAGCAAAATTTCAATTTGTTTTCCACGCTATCCCGGCCTACGTATCGATCTAGGTGGGCATAGTAATTATTTTTTTACAAATATAATTTGTGTTTAATATTGCCCACACATGGACAATCTATTTCGATAGAAGCTTGAGTATCGCTCGATCTCTGAAGGGGAGAATATAGAATACAGCGTACAAGGCTAGAAGTTGAAGGGATACATTGACGTAAGTACCATAACTTCAAGAAGTTAAACCCACTAACTACGAGCTCGAGAGGGTAACCAGATTGTCGAATACTGCCGTAGTCACGTAGGATAATCGTTGGAGTACCATTGGATTATGGGTTCTGTCTATATACACAAAAATGAATCTTTAAATATCAGATACACTCGATCATCGCTCGGTGTCCCTAATCGGTCAATGTAGACAGTTCGGAACCTTTGAATACTGAATACAATAGCTTCTAGCTAAAGTACATTGAAATTCAGTGATGAGCATCGCTCTATATATTGCTTTCGATACGCATTATAATTATTTAGGAAATGAAAGGTAGTTAAATCTTGTCTACTGTAACTATAACGTATAGAAGGCTTTATATTATCTGTTATTATATAATTCGAATTAAATACACATAGCTAAAAGGGATGATGATCGTGATGGCCGTCCAAATGAAGTTCGGTCACATTAACGTTGTACATTGTCGGTCAAAGACGCAGATGGGCATTAGCAGCGCCTCGTTCGAAGTGTTTCTTAACACGGAAAAAGTAGTTGTTAATTTGTTTAAGTTCCGATGAGTACTAAACGACTGGGTAGCTTGACGACTTTAGTGATTTTTACTTTCGATTAACAACAACAATCTATTTTTTTTAAGCTAAAAAAAAAGGACACTGCAACCATCGAGAGCTTAGTCGTTACAAGGCAAATTGTGCAGCGATCTTAGTGGACAATTTCGATCAATTAATCCGCATAGAGGATCTGTTTGTCCTTAGGTAGAGCTAGAAATTTGATGTAAATATTGTTCACATGCGTAACACAGTTATTTTTTGCTTTCTTCTTTAACTTTTATATTTTTATAGGAAACGGTTATATCGAGGGAAGGGAGCTAGATGATTTTCTCCGCGAGTTTGTCTCCAGCGTCAGCCTTACCGATGTCGGCCCAGAAGTAAGTGGAGAAAAAGAGCTGTATGGAAAAAAGCAACAGGAACATATTTATTGGCTTATCGAAATTTGACGGTTTATCTAGTTCGATTGTTTCAAAGTTACATACTTCAGGCAACGTAGGTCGCGTCGTGTCATGAGAAGAGATTTGACAATATTGTGATAAAATGATTAAAACATCTACATTTAGACTTAATACAGAGCTGCCTGAAAATTGATTAAATTTTTGAAAATATTTTCTATATTTTACACTTTCATTAAAAAAAAATAGTGTTGGTCATGGTCAGGGCGCGTTGTTGACTCAAATATGATTCTGTCGCTTTCCTTTCCAATGGAAATTTCGACATGAAAGATGCCTTTTGTAGTCGTGGACTAATTACGAAAGAAACGAATGAATGAATGAATGAATGAATGAAATTATCGCAAAACACAAGCGAGACCGGCACTTGAGTAGGCATTACATAGCTAAAAAACTAAACATCTGCTACGAAACAGCTTTTATACAACTTAAGGAAAGCTAGCTAGAAGAAAAAGGCTCGATATTTGGGTACCATACGAGTTAGCATAGGATAAGAGTGACTAAAACATATTTCCATCTACGGAAACGCGACGATGTCGACCCATTTGTAATGCGGCCGATTACGGGTGGTAAAAGGTAGATCATATACGACATTGATGCCCGAAATAAATCATGATTAAGCAGGCAAGGAAAAGCTCTGTAGGCCAGGGTAGAGCCGGCACCGATGCCGTCGAAGATGATTTAGCGGCTGTTCAGTTACTATGTAATGAAAGTCATTTCATTTTAACGAAGGGTTGCTAGAATCATTTATATATATAGCCTATGGCTATTTGGGCACGTAGAGGTTGCTTCGTATTTATTTAGGGAATGATTTAGCAAACAATGCACTGTTTCCGCGATTTGAGTTGTGGATTAACTATTCAAAGACTGCTTTTTTTGGTCGAAATCGATGATCTACATCATTTTAACCTTTTAAGCGGGTTCTTTTTTTCAGTTTTTGGACTTTTAATTATTTCAGGGTAGATTTTTGACCAGTTAGTGTCTAGGCACCGATTAAAATTTGTAGTCGTCTGAATGGCCGATCGCTGTATTACAAAATATTACCGCATGATATAACAGTTCTAATATACGCAAAAGATCACGAAATATTTGTTTAATTTTAGGTACAGCCTTAGAAACAACTGAAATTAGAAAGTCTCGATCGAGATGCACCATGATCCATATATATATATATATATATATATATATATATATATATATATATATGGATTTTCGTTTTAACAAAGCTTTGTTTTTTTCGTAAACTTTAGTTAATAACCAAGTCTTTTGTCGTTTCGAACACGCTAATTTATTCTAGTTCCAATGCTAGCACAGCTGCGAGCTCAGGTCAACGTCAAGGAACGTAGGTCGATACAGACATGGTACGATAATTCCTGCCATATCTATAATATACTTAAAGCAAGAAGTACATTTTTTCATAAAAAACAGTAAGCTTGTCTTCTGGCAGAAAGTTAAGATTTCTAAAATAATTGTTTGCAAATTGTATGTTTTGCTAGTGGAAAAGTGCTGTGTGCAGGAAAGGGTCCTGTCTTTCTCATACGCGTGTAATTACGGCGATATTCACCGTCCTGCAGATAAAAATTTGTAGAGGCTCATTTGGAACAGATATTGCTGGTTTTATTGTAATTGGTCACATTCTGAAAGCGATATGTCGTCGGTGTTACCTTTATGGGCCTTTACGATTGAAACGTAGCATTACTTTGCGATCTAATTTTGCTTCGTACGAAAAAGACCCGAGGCAAATGACTGGCCCAATATATCGCCCTGTATTAAAAGATAAATATGAAAAGGAACGAACGTCCCTCTAAACCACTACCTATTTTTCTTTTTTGTCCAAGATATTTTTTGTTAGTTACTATCTCGCGCTTTTGGCGTCCTATTTAAGTTCCACCGAAACTTCATTGTTAATTTCCTTTTCCTAATTATTACTGCTAAGTGAGTCCGCACCTTAATGAGCGGATACATATAGCTGTACAATATAGTGAAGGAGGAATGTCCAACCGCTTTTTTTTGACATCGAACAAGTTTCTTATTCACGATTCACTCATTTCTCACAAACGCTTTAAACATGAACGTTACACACTGCCCAACGTTATTCTATGACTTTTTTCCAACCTAACCTAAAGACAGTTGTAGTATAATCAATCATCTATTTTGTCACAGAATAACGCGGTATGTGATGAATACTAACAGCACCAGGCCTCACCTGTCACAGTAACATGAAAACTTTAACTGGCGTCGCCTGCCTAATTAGAGTAGTATTTACAAAATGCACAGCTTCCCTTCTGCTTGGTGATGTTGCGTCCTATGCTACACGTCGCCGTGATTTCAGTACAGGTTTTTTGATGCCATTGTCTTATGACCTTCCATAAATTCACACAATCGAATACCCTGTGACCTTTTTATGTTTATGATTCAGTACTAAATTCCATATCTCACTGTTGCGCTTCATAGATCCTGTTAGCTCGTAGCTCGTATCCCACATCCCAATGATCACGTGCTCCCGTTGCAGCTAAACTGTTGCTCTGCGCTCATTAACCTGCTAGCTCAGGTGTGTGGTGATTCCGCGTAATTTCAAAACGGATCTAACTTACACTACGAAATTGCAAGTAAACGTTGAGTCAATTAAAAAACCAAGTTCTGAAGCGTTTGTGGAAGAAGATACGATATCGTATCCCGTGACAGGCGGTAAGAAAAACGGATTTTTTTTTTGTAGATTTAATGTCATTCTTTTCGCTACCTAACCTTCGAGTCTACAGGAAAGGTGCTTACATTTCTTAGCGCAAGAACTATTTTTACATATAGTTGTTATTCTTTCGTCATAGAGAAAAACACAAAATCAAACCATTGCCTTCGGTGTCATGTGATGATTTTCAGCAGTCATTTTTTGTAATGTGTTTGTCTATGGTAATGGTAAGCGACAGTCCAGGCTCAAGTCTACGCATAGGCGCTTCGTTTCGTGCTGGGTACCAGCCGTCCGATGACGTGTCCAACCAGGTTTAGTAACCCTTTACGGTTCGTCAGCGCTGTGGAGCAAAGTGTTTCCCAAGGAGGGTGATATCACATATGTACGCAAAATTTTAGAACTCACGTTAAAAATATTCGTTCCTAAGTGATGCTGGCGGGTAGTGTAACGACAGCGAGTATTTTCCCTGGACATTTCTTTATCTTACCTGCAGCGTAAGTTCTTCTATCATCAATGATAGACAATGACAATTAAGGGCGAAAAAAGTGACAGCGCAAGGTCCCTTTCGTCTGGTAGAATAAAAAAACAAACTCGAAAATGTAACACATTGTTTTTCCATGCAAAAAGGCTTCAGGCAAGTGGGCAACGAGAGGGAGAATGGACAAAGAAAAATTGCTAGGTCGATGTTTGTTTGCCTGATTAAGAGGTTAAGTGAACCCGTCAGGCTTGCCGCACCTTCAAGCTAGAGAAACTGCCGTCACATAGTTTGGCGTTGACGAACTGCTCTATGTCAGCACTTGTGTCTAGAGCACTAACTAAGTGGTACATTGGGTTAAAAAATTGTGTGTATTAGATTCAAGCAGTTAATACTGCTAATGTTGTGTTCATGGGAAGATCAAAAGAAGTTTTATAAGTGTTTTTTTTTTTTGTTAAAAATACATATAGTAATGATAAATATGAACTATAGCTGTTCGAATGTCAACAACATCAATGTACTATTACTGGCGTTATAATGAGTTCGCCCTCTTTTATACTATTTGTCTCTAATTATGTACGGCGATGGTGTACTCTTGATAACAGGACCTTATCGTAGACGCCTTTAGATTAGGCCTCGCTGTATTAGGCCCCGTTTCTCGCCAACCATAATCACCTAAAACGTTTACCACGCCTGTAAATTATAGTGAGCTTACGGATTATAAATACAGTATGGACAGCTCATGACCCTGATTTTGGTCTACTCAGCATACGTCCCCTCTTTAACGTGAAAATAAAGTGCGCCTTTATTGATCTGATGCTAGAACCACAACGATCTGACTGGTTGGATATCATTTTATAATGACCTTATTTTCTAAAATCGATGTTATTTCAGGTCGTGTCGGAATCAATGCTTGAAGAGCTTCGCGAGTGCTTCATGGAAGCTTACGACGACAACAAGGATGGTATGTCTTAGTTCCTGATATGACCTCTATTAGCTGAAGAGATGTTATAGAAAGGGCAAATTTCTTTTCTGCCACACTAGAGGCATTAATTTTAGACCTTTAAGGTGCTGTTTCCATTGTGGGTGTTCAGCGTTTGCCAAACTGATCAAATCACCCTATTCGGTAATGCAATTTCCGCACGTGGTATCGGCCGGAGTTAATAACTCAGCGGCCGTTGTCACCTTAATATCGCACGGTGTCCCAGTATCGGAGTCCCATTACGAATACATAAACACGCCGTAACCCATATTGCAATGTAGAATTGAGTGTTTTCAGGCCTTCCCTATTTGGCAACAGGGTTCGTCCCGATGTAGATTTCTCAGGTCAGATTAATGCACACCGTAAAGTGGAGTACACGTGTACGCGCCCTCGCAGTAACTTGAAATTTAGTTCTTATCGCACTTACGAAGCGTACACTGCGACAGTTACCTGCATAAAACAAATAAGCCTACGAATAGATAGGCTGATTGTCAGCTATTAGTACGTGTTTGCTATGGTTACTCATAAACGGTATCAACCTAATTGCGTTGAACGAAGTCTGTTTCATAGCGGAAGTACCATGAAATGTGATAATAGTCGAATTACTAGATACATACGTGAATCAATAGGTAAAATACCGACTAACTTACTTTCATTCTGTGATATCTATACAGAATTCATCCTGTCTTAAAAGAGCATTTTTTTTTTTCATTTTAACCTCACTGATACCTTGTCTTGTGCGCTTCTGCAGGCCTACGAACAGATATATGTGATACTCTGAAATCCGATGTATCACGTTCATGTAAAGATGTGCTACTGATCCAAATCGTTCTGTACATGAACATTAGTTCATCCATAAATTATAAATATAACGGAAAAACTTCAGTGAGCATTTCCACAGCGTTATCACAAACTGTTATATATATATATAACAGTTTGTGCTTTTTTATACGAGCCCCTATTGAGTTCCTACGCGTCCATCACACGCATTTATTACGTATCTGCTCCGGTTAGTCCATCGTTGATCGCTTATCGGTTACAAGCGGTACATCTATTATGTATTCAGAGAACATTAGCCTGTATATGTCCTATTTTGCGTTTCAGGCAAAATCGAGATTCGTGAGTTGGCGCAATTGCTCCCTCTTGAGGAGGGATTTCTACTTTTATTCCGCTTCGACAACCCGCTCGACAGCTCCGTCGAATTCATGAAGGTCAGAGTATACGCACCTCGAAACGTATTTTGATTTACACTCGAACAGTTTCATTATGAAAAGATTATAGTCTTTCAAGAGCATTGTCTTCTAGTTATTATTATTCTTCTTAATAGAAGTCCTCCGAACCTTTTATAGGTTTACAATCGTTGCAGTAATCTACCTCCGCTCCTTCTACTACTATTCCTGTTTATTTTTTTAAACTTGTCAGGTAATAGAACCCCGCTGTTCTGTTAAAAATTCCTAATGTCATATAATTAGATTACATCAATAATTACAATGGTACTTCCCATTTTGACAAATATTTATGAACTATAAAAAGACAATTGACAAGCTTTGTGTCGGAACTTGCTATGCCCTAAAAATGTGTCGTGTTATTTCGAGACGAGTTTCTTTCTTTAATAGATGTACTGCGCATCGCATACATGATACGGCATCCAAAGCTTGGCGGGCTGTTCGTCGGAACGGGCATGCGTTCATTCGCCATTTTTGATATTGAGAAAAAACCTGTTCTTTCTACAGCAAAGCAACAAACTCGTTACGGGCAAAGACAGTGGGTCTTTTTCGCGACTTGAGTTATACTTAAATCTCTCCACGCTGGACAAACTCCCATTAAGAGCAAAAACTGCCAGGTATTTTATGTAGCCCGTAAACATCTCAGGCTCTTCAATAGGTTTTAAATTTAAAAGGTCCAAAATGATGATCAAAGTGGCTCAAAAAGTTCTCACAAACCTAGGTTATTCTGATCGAAATCAACGGCCGCTTTAGATAGGAAAATATCACTCGTTAATCAGGTTATTCAGATAAGTTTTAACGGTTAATTGTTTTGAAGCCTCCGCCCTTTTACACTGTTTGGCTATCTTCTCTTTAGCCTTTGCATTTTTGAGCTTGTTGGCCTGTTGTCACGCTAAAACTTATTTCCGCTATAATTTTTTCTATAGCGCATTCGAGTAACACTTTAGCTTAAAAACAAAACTAATGATTGGTGGGGTGAACGACTTGAAGCTGTAATTGCGGTGAACGGCGGTTATATTACAGACACATGATTATCGAAAATGATGACAGTTCTAGCACATGCCAAAAGAGTATGTTTTTATTTAGATACACTCTTGAAAAGACACCAACAAAGAAAATATTCCAGGTGCTGCAAGCTGTTTAGATGTATAAAAAGAAAACAAAAAAAAACATCGACATAAATTCAATAGAAAAAAATATATATATAAACAGATTTCATCGTTGTGTCTTCGATTTTGCCACAGACAGATTTACGGACCACCAATAGAAGGAATACAGGGTTTACTGGCTGTTCTTCTCGGGCAATGGCTATACACTTAAGCTGCCCTGAAAATACTTAACAAAACATTAATTAGTTACATCGAAACGGCCATTGCCTTTCCCAAGTAGATAATCACGATATCCGTTATCAGTTTCACCTTTCTATTTCATACAATTCTATCGACAAAATACTGAACCTGTACACGTCTTACGGTGTAGCCAAATAGTAGAAATTGTTTTGGTGGTAAATATACGCAAAAAAAAGATTTGCAAACCCCGACGTTAGAAATGCTTGAATCTTTATAATGGTACCAATCCATGGCCTTTACTTCTGGCTTATTTGTCAAAGGCATTAATTTAATTCATCACTTTAGAAAATTCAGATTGAATTAATAACTAATTTGTGGACTCGTAACAACCAAATCCATGACTTCTTGATTACTAAGTGAATATCGCAAGATTCGATAACTTCTGCTGTGCTGCTTAGATATTCCTGTGCTCTAGAATAACTGGGTATATATCCAACTTTATAAAATCGCGGCTAATTTTGAAGTATCCTCGCAATACCGGATCAGGAGTAGAATTTTTAACACGAGAACAGCATATGTTTTTTTACAAACTTACGTTTTTGCGTCCGAATAGTGAACTATTGAAGCTGAATGATGAAACTCATAAACACTGAGATTTTTTGAAGAAAATGAAAAATCTTATTTGATTGAGGTCCTCCAAAACGGACATAAGTGAAGTTTGAATTCGCAGAGGTTACGTGACAGAGCCTATATGAAGGTCGGAGAGGAGTTCTGGCCGCCGAGTGAGTAATAATGGGACGATTGAGGTAAATCTTGAGAGTAGAAGCTGGAAAATATCGCCAAGAGCACGAGGCGAAGAGGTATGAGGGCTACATAAACGAGGCGTGATAAATTCTAAAAACAGCACGTAAAAGATTTTTTAGCAAGATTTATAGTTGCTTAGCTATATGTTTAGCACAGCTGACTCCCCAGCTGGCACATTATTAGAAATAAGAGCAGCAGACAAGGATTTGAAATAACCACGTTTCCTTTTTCTGGGTCTAACGAAACATATCTACTTCTATATTTAAGCACTCTTTGTCGTGTGGCGGTATATATCATTAGCGGGGCTTGAGCCAGTGACCTTTCATGATCCTTCGCTAAGTTTAAGGTTTAGCCTTTAACGAACGGCTTGCAAAAGCGTTAATTAAATAATTAAAATTGCGTAGCATAACATTTTCCATAAGCGCGAATTGTCATATAGCGGAGATTATCAATAAACATTGCAAACTATTATTATATCCTTTCAGAAAAAACGTACATTTAAATTGCCTTTCTGTATTGAAGTAATGTTTTTTTTCGATATTTTTCTAATATGGGCTGTTCGTATAAACCGTAATATTCGTCATTCTTTCTCCTGCTTTCGGTTACAGATTTGGCGGGACTATGACACAGACGGAAGTGGATTTATTGAGGCAGACGAACTTAAAGTAAGCAACACCGAAATAGGAGGCGTGATATTAGCTTTTGCCAATGCGTATACATTAGGTTTTTAGATTTTAATAGTTTCGATACCGCGGGCATCCTGCTGCTAATATATATTATTACTACTAAATTTCGATAAAATAAAAAACACCATATTCACAGTTTATGTAGCCATTCTACTTCCAGCTTAAGCCTAATTTTAGCAGGAAGTCCTAACCAGCTCAAAGGCCCTTATCACCAATGCTTGTGAAAAAAAGGGGGAAAAATATTGTTGTTATTGCCGCCGCTTGAATCAGCATCTGAAGATGCCTATTTAGCCGAGTTTTCATTGGGGGACCGTGTGAGGACTCAGGGCGGCTGGTGGGTTAACGGAGGTTGTGTTGTAACTTCACAACAGTGGCAATAGCTGTTGCCTATATTGGGAGTGGACACACTGGCTTTGCCAAGGCTTTAAAACGTCGAAAGGTACCGAGAAATAATGAAGCTAAAGCAAATGGCTTTACAGTCCTTGTGCATGAACTGCAACGTGGGAGATCCACATACGCTTTGCAAGCATGATTGGAAGCGATTTGTCACGCTGTCATTTTAAAACCAGGATACACTGGGTAGACCAAAACGTTTCGGGCGTTCCCAGTAACACAAACATTTTTAAAATTTGTCCTGACCGAAGATTACCCGTTTGAAAAATAATCTGTTTACTGCTGTTCACGGGCATCCATCGCTGTTGCAGTGCATTTAATCCACTAATGAAACGCCTCATAAAAAATCATTGACAAATTTAGCTTTAGAAGGTTAACTTATAAAATCTGTTTATTCGGCAAGTTTAAGGTAAGGTAAGACGGGCCCGTGCTAGTACCGGTCTTCTCTTCAGTCCTTGCATTTTGTAATGCAATGGATGTTTGCTAAAGTTTCTAAATTTCAAAGCACAAACGAAATGACGCTCCAAGAAAAATCGTAAGGACTTTAACGAATGAACATGTTAAATGCGTCGAAATCTCAGTTTTGCCTTTTCCTTAGGCCTAATATGAAAGTGGTGCAGTGGTGTATATAGTGAAGTCCTATGCAACGGGTATGCCTTCCTCTTTGACATTTCAGAACTTTTTAAAGGATCTCTTGCGAGAGGCGAAAAGAGATAACATCGAGGAGGATAAACTAATCGAATATACGGACACGTTGGTAAGCTTTATTTTACTTAAGCTTTGATGACTATGACCTTACGAATAGTATCGGCTAAATAAGCTTTTCTCTAAGATCGTTGACAGTGTACGAACTTCAACATACACTGTTAATTTGCTAACTTACCTCGATATTGTCATGTTGTTTACAAAAGTGTACTAATATTTTTATCTGCTTTGTAAAGCTTACATTCATGGGATAGCCCAGAGCCCTTTGTAGGGGGTGCGAGTTATATAAGGTCTTCTTCTTAAATTTTATATTTCGCATGATAATCATGGTATACTGTGGATTTAGTAATCGTTGAAATTTCAGCATGCGGTATACTCTGTAGAGAAACAGTATAATTAACATAAATGATTCAAGGATTTGGCATAAATGTTTCCTATAGTGAAACGCCTGCACAGGTTAAAGTTCATGAAGTTCTCACACATGCCACTAGATATTATTAATGGATAGTAAAAATTCGGATTTCCAAGTTATCTCGACTCACAAGCGTAATAGCGTTTACGTTTCAATACGGCTCTTGTAATGAAATTTATTCCAGAGTGTAATACAATGAGATTAATATCCAAACGATCTAAACAATATTTGGACGTATTATACCACTGGTGAGGAAGACCCCTCTTAAAAGTGAAGGCTATTAGTGCACAAACGTTATGCGTTCTATTGAAATAGACACCGCTTCTTCTTTACGATAGGTCTGTCCCCTCTAGCAGACCGTGTGTTTAAGGCCCACGATAATAATTTATCCTGCATTAGGCTTAATAACACAGGTATTCGAAGGCGCTCGTATTATTGGTACAAACCGTGCTTTCGTGTCAACGTCACGATGTCAGAGCTTAAAAAGCTTTTAAACGATCTTCTTTCAAATGCGCTATTGTGTATGTTTCTTTCGTAGTGGCTCCTCTCAGTCCAGCTGCTTGATGAAATCTTGCTTGTAACTAGTGCTTGATAAGGCTGTAGTGATTTTGGGAACTTCTGCTATAGTCCGAAACGAAAGTTTCCTAAGGGGATATCCGTAAGATATAGTTATCAAGGCTAGTACACCTAAGACTTGAATGTTGGTAACCATTCATTAAATATTGATACATGCAGATAAAAAAATATTAAAGGCAATCTATAGACGTAGATACACAGCCTCAAACACCCCAAGAGACTAGTGTCGAACAGGTAGATGTGTTACCTAAACAAAAATCGGACCAGGCTTTTTGAATGTACTTTCAGCTTCAAATATTCGATAGCAACAAAGATGGAAAGCTCCAACTTAGCGAAATGGCCAAGTGAGTCCTTCGATCAATTTCATAAGATAGGGTAGACAGTTAATAACTATTATTAAAATGTACATGTTTTTAAATATAATTTATTAAATCTTCTATCAGAAAACAGTAATAACACTTCATTCAAGGGTAGTATAATTCATAATAATTATTAATGAGGATTCTATTCCTCAATTTTGATTTGAACTAATTGAAGATGAGGCTATAATATTTTAGTAGTAGTAGTACAATATTAGCGCTATTTACATAGACCAATGCCTACCCTCCTGTCGTAATGACTGGCCCTTAAATCTGACTGTTATTTATAGAAAAAAAAAAAAAAAAAAAAAAAAAAGCAATTCGTTATTCGCGAGTATCAATAAATGATTAGATCTAATGATAATACATGACGGCAATTTAACATGGTTTCCAGCGGAAAAGTTAACCTGTATTGTTTCGCCTCGTCGAATATGTCTTCAGTGGAGCTCTTTTTGAAGCTTCGCCTTTACCTAGCAGTATTGAAATCCCCTAACGTCATCGCCATAGGTAGTTTTTAATTCCGTTTTCATGCTGGCCTATTTTTGAACAAAAATACACTCAAAAATGGTTAATTGTTAGTAATTATTTTTGTCATAGATCTATCAGAACTCGACCTATAAACTAAATGTATCACGCGGTCCCTCAATAGATTCATGATAATCATCGGGCCTTATCATGTAGCAATCAAATAAATACTCAGATGTAGCATACAGCTGTGAAGACGTCAATTCAAACGCTTTAAGATTATATTACATAAGAGATACTCTACAACAGCAAAATACGGACTATTGTCAGATACAGTTCAGCTACAAAGTAATCTCATTTTAATACATACATTTCTATATATTTCATATATAAATCATAACCATATATTTCAATATACGCGTCCAGTTTATTATATTTTCATAGTTTGTAACCTGTTTTTGTTTTACGTTACTCCAATACCTAGGATACAGTTTGTAAAAATCCACTTTTTGCTATTTTGAATTCGTAGAGCTAAAAATGATGCACTTCGTGTATTTGAAAATTTGCGACTAAAAAAATCTGTCGTTATCAAATTTACAGATTGCTTCCTGTGAAAGAGAACTTCTTGTGTCGTTCAGCTTTCAAGGTATCTTTATCTTAGATAATACTTATGCCATAAGATAATCGAATGTAAGGGACTGCGCCTACATAGCTACATTGTGAAGAGCATATTTGTGTCTGAATTTGATAGGTCATTGGGTGATCTGTTAAATGGCTAGCCAGTGTTCGTTGCCACTAGCTATATTGGATCACAAATGAATGGAACCTGTCAAATCTCTCGAGCTCAGACAGTTGATACGAGGAACGTAGGACTCATGTGTCATTTCCAAACCACTATTTTGAATGGACACTGACATATTCTTTGCACCCCATGAAGATAATGTCTTTTCAAAGGAACTGATACACTACGTACATCGAAGTATGAGCAGTCCTTACGAGAGATACTTCGAACGCTTTCGTAGGTCTTAAAAATGGATCAGGGTCCATCTGCAAAACTTACGAAAGGCAGCTTCTGTGGACTTAAATAATAGAAGACGGGTGAAAATACTATTTGAAAGAGATTTTTGTTTGCAATCCAGAATTCAAAAAATGATACCACAGAGGTATGCCGTGCGCAACACAGTACTACACAGGCGCGGGTGAGCTACCTTAAAATAAATTGAAACATAAATATCTTTTCCTAATCTAAAGAAATTGCCGTTGTATTTGTCGAAGTGTTATTCATTATACCGTCGCAATCTAGCAATTAAAAGCACATACGTGGACGTCCTGTTTAGACGCCTCAAAACACATAGAGCATAAGAATTTGGTTTCCGGGAAAAAGTCACATTAACCAAAAAGTCTATGTCACTCTACCCACTTTTTTTACGTGCAAAGAAAATCGACCATGCGTACACATGCTTGGAGCCCGCGAGTGTGACGACCTATTTCCGATAGAAGTACTGTATCTCCGATACATAGCTGTCCCTCTTTGACGTACCATAACATTCATATACCAAAAATCTCCAGAATATGACACTTTGTAATGCTTCGTAATGAATATTCCCCTTCGGGTAGAGGACGACGACCCTCCTTTTAACGGACGATTTTTTCCTAGCCGGCGGCAGGTTTGGCTACCCTGCATACGTTCGTTGAAAAGTCACCTGGTCGCTATTTTTCTTTTATCATCCGAGCAACGGCATGACAAGTCCTCCCGTTATTCTCATAGACGACCAAGAGAAGATGGCGATTGACCAATGGTACACAAGGAAAAGCTTAAGGAGTAACTTTGAAGTGTAATATTTTAGTACGCCGCTTTGGGGCCGTTTTGAAGGGCATAGTTAAGCTATTTTATTGCTGTGTTTTTACGTTTTCCTATAATCCTGATTAATTCATGCCGTAGTTTAAAGCGCATGTTAAAGTTTTGTAGATGGCAAAGCAGATGCAGTCAGATATCGTTCCTCCAGTTAAGCTGGTATCAATGACATTTAAAAACAAGAAAAAAATCATGTCGTACAGATAATTCCAGCGTATAATATGTTCGTCTGGAAATAAGTTGGCTAAAAGTATCTTTAACTGTTCAATAAAGTATAATGATATTGCTTGCGGACTTAACTTACGATTTTTTCAGACACACAATCAGAACCAGCCGTTATCTTGTAAACACATCACATAAAGTATATTTGAATTAGCCACGATATTAGATTTATTGATGCTCGTAATTAGACTCGCAAGGTATAAGCGCAAAAAATAACGCTTCAGTTGCACCAACTGGTGATTCCAACGTCCCTGCTGCAACTTCTAAAAATAGCTCACCATTTGAGCTACTGAATATTCGGTCAATACAAGGCCTATTTTCGTATGTTATTTTCGAATACGTAAAGTTTTATAGCGCTGATATTAGTGTTAACTTTAACTTTAATTTGTAACGTGTTTCCTGACATGGTTACCCTACAGTGGTGCAGGCTATACGTAATTAAGCTACATTGTAAAAACTTCTAGCGTCGATAAAAGCGCGATATATAATTTTGATCAGATTAATGAATGGAACTTTGTTGTATACATTGTTTTTTTAATATCAGGACGGCATCCTCACTATGAACCCATGGACATCCTATGTTGACCCCCCCCCCCCCCATCGTTCTATGTAGCTTAATACTTTTGATAGTTATCGCTCTGAGAACCAAGTATACTTTTCTAAAATTTGTCACATGATACCAGTGTCCGCTTACTTTAGCGAGAAATCGTCGTCTTTTATTGTTATTTCAGGGTGCAAGTAAGTTAACTAGGGAGGACATCGAGAGGGTGTTCGCATTGTATGATCGGGTAAGGTTCTTTCCTTTTTATCTATGTATTGTCTAGACCTCAGTTCTGACCAGATTAGTTAAGTTTAATTGTTCATTCGTACTTGCGCAAGTGCCTCATAGTACTATAGGCTGCTGTGTCCTTTCAAGTTAAAAATGAATGATAATCTTGTCGCCAACTCGGTTGCAAATCGTGCTCAAACGAAGTGCTTAGCTGTTAAAAAAACAAGCAGTTCTTTTTACGGTAACTTCATCACCATCAATTGTTGTCAACTAGATTTTTTGTTGCAGTGAGGACGTTTCATGTAAAGTACTTTCGGGGAACGCATTTAACAGTTCATAGAGCCCAGCGAATATTGAGTTGGCATATGGAACTTGGGTCGGTCTCGGCGCATACCGTGAAAACATTCACACCGAGCTATGTTATCTGCTCGTAAACCAAAGTCACGTTTAACCAACGTTCTTCAAACGTTGATGTTACGCAGACGAGAGGCGACAAACGCACGACTACAGCCACCTCCCTTAACTTATTAGTTTCAAATTAAGTTTTGCAACGAGTACCAGAGCAAAGCAGTGCAAGCGAACCTCAACGGAGCATTTTCGGAGAACCTTATAACGAATTTCCCAATTACAAGTAAAAACAATACATACTTATTGTAAGATTGCTTCTTTGTTGTGCATTCCCCGTAAAAAACACTAATCATACACAAATTTAGGTTTTCTTTTGCTTCAATTAATCAAACAAAGTCAGATCTTTGCATTTAGAATCATAGAATAAGCGGAACCCTGATGCGAAAATGTATGAGCTTTATGTTAACGGTCTCGGAGGCGTATAAATAGGCTAGAAACATAGGTTTTTTATTCGTATAGTATACTTGCCTATAAGCATCATATTGTATTATATAGAGAAATGTTTGCGGTCCCCGCATAAGACATCATTTATGAAACTTTGACGAAAATCGCTAAATATTGAAAACAAACCCGGACAGCTAAATTGTAATATTACCTTCTGTTTCAGGACAAAAACGGCACAATCGAAAACGAGGAACTAAAAGGCTTTTTAAAAGACCTTCTGGAGCTCGTGAAAAAAGTCAGTGTAAATGTAGATTGCGTCCAATAGTTAAGTGCTTTAGATCTGAAGATTGGGTAAATAGTGTGATCACGTAATGAGACATGGCCCAACAGTGAGTGTTCTGCAATATATTCTACCACTGCATATGTAATTTGATTGTCGATTGCCTATGCCCGTTTCTTGGGGGCCCAGTTTTACGAAGCGGCTCTAACTAGCAGAAATCAAACAGACGTAGTTAAATTGTCTTTGTCGAAAAATGTTGTTTTGTATGGATGTCACCTTTAGTCTATACGGACTTTTTGATCATATCCGCTCGTAAAAAAAGCTGGTCTAATGGCGCTTTCAGATGAAAAATAATAATTAAGCTATCGATATAACGCCAGATTATTAAAAATACTATTTGAAATATTTAAGAAATGTCACATTCGCTTAGTAGAGCTTTTTCTTTTTTCTTTTTTTTTTTTTATATATATATATATATATATATATAGAAGTCATCTACTTGTGCCAAAAAAGTCATATAAGGAAAAACTACGTAAAATCTAGTACCGTTTTGAATAAAGGGGCTTCGCAGATCTAAACATTCAACTCCGGGACCTTCTGATCATTATTCTGTAAATGGCTTAGTTTTTGTAGAATAAGGCTTGTGGAATCAGTCTCCAGAATACTCAGTACCCCCAAAAAGTACATTACCAATTGAATTGAAAATTATTTGCAATCGTTGCGTTACACATAACTATATTCTTCTTAGAAGGCTGAGTATGTTCGGCTGCATTGGCTGTACTGCTTCTCGACCTGGGTTAATTCTCCATTATTGTGCACGCATCACCATTCTAACATCGGTTTGTCGACCAAATACCCATGCCATGACATATAGGTCAAACTTATTATAACTCTAATTCTTTTCAATAATAGGAAATCAATAAAATTGGATAGGAAAGTGCACGGCCAGATTTTGATTGGGATGCCCCTAGCGCAATTTACTTTGGAAAGTGAAAGAAAGGCGTAAATTTCGAAAAACCTAGGTGCCTAACATATAACGACGACTAGATAGCTTTCGTGTTTGAAGAATGCGGAGCCTCAATACATGTCCGATACGTTATGTTTTGACAATCATTATTATCGCTGATGTGTGAATTTCGTGTAAAAATGTGTTTACACTTTAGGATGTTCTCTTTCTGAGCGGATTTAGTAACGGTGTCTCATATTTGATAACGCCAGCTCGTAAAACAATCCACGTGACTCAATGTGATGTTTTTTATATTTGGTGCAACCCGGATGTTGAAAACATAAGAACCCACCGTCATCGTTACGTTGGCGTACTACGACAGAGCATAGTATTCATTCACATTCTTCTCTACTATAGTGATCTATTCAATTTTTAAGTGTTTCATAATATAGCCGCCGATGTTTCATGAATTTACTGGACCATTCCCTTTTTTCGTTTCAGGATTACGACGCGCAGGACCTTGCTGAGTTCCAGGAGTCAATCCTTCGAGGATGCGACTTCAACGCAGATGGGAGAATTTCCAAAAAGGAGCTCACTATGGTTTTGTTAGCGCTCGCCAAGCAAAATGATCTCGAGCAAAAGTAAATCTCGACGTTTACGCAAAACTGACTTCTGTTGACATTTAGAAACAGGATGATTTCACAATCCGTCGGGATCGAAGAGTGGCGACGGTTTCTTCATATTTATATTGTTGTTCAATCGCTAGCTTTATTTACGTGTTAGACAAATACAGTTTACAGAGCTTGCCAAGTATATGAACAGGATGAATGTTATCATATAAAGTCATCTGTCGATGAAAGGCAAAACGAACTTTCGCTTTTCTCACCAAGATACATACGGGCATCGATAAATATGAAAAGTGCGGACACTTAGTCAGAACGGTCATACTACGCAACGGCAAATAAACATTTGCCCAACGTAACAGACACACAAATGGACAGGCTTACTTGACAAAAACCAAAAGCCGACTACGTAAATTATAGTAAGCCAGTAACTCCGAGATCTTTTGCTGATTATGTGCCTACGACTGTTCTGAAGTACAAATCCAAACATCCTGAAAGCTTCGCTGAGTGGGAACATGATGCACTTTTTATGTAGCTCAACGCGACAGGTACGTACCAGTGAACTAGTCAATCCAAATTTCGGAACAATCGGTCTACGAGCGATAGCTCAGAGACATGCCATCTAGAATGTGTTTAAGAAAAGCACGACGTCTAAGTCTAAAAGGAGGATACGTTCAAGTTGTACAATTTACTTTCTACATAACTATCCAAATAGATATCAGCAATGTAAGTTCGTATAACATTATTCATGTAGCTTTCAATTGCCAGTGTTCTATGTAAAAGTCGACGCACTAATCTAGCGTCTCCTGAGGACACTCCAATCTTTTCAGGAACATATTTAGCTAGCAACTGATTGTCTATAAACAGATGGTATTTCTTGAGTCAATATTACATCACGTACTGATTCAAGCCAGTTGGAAGTGGCGTTCGCTATCCGCGCGCCTCTGTCAAAAAAGCACGTTGCTACCGCCATGATACTCTGCGCGACCGCGACAGCAACGCAGAGGCGCTAGCTGGCGTCTCTGCTCGTCATACGGTAGAGGACACCGTCTGTATCGTACTGTCTTGCATCTACTTGCATTTACCCCTTGCTGAATGATCGTATACAGTGATCGCGCCAGCGCGTATAGCGTATCATGTTGTGTCGAAACTATGGCCCATTAAAAAAAATTATATGCTTTGTAATTATGAGCTTCGGCACAGTTTTCGCTTTTCGTCACTTCAGCAACTGAGTGCGAGACCGCCTAAACAGAGCAGCAGATCGCATTCATAAATTCCCCCAAGTTTGAGCCCCATGGCAGGTCTATATCAGTGTAAAAATGAACTGTTATAGCAGACGGTACAGCAGACAAGATGGTGACAGGCTTTTCACAAACAGATCTATAGATATGATACGCTGTTATCAAAATATCTTACGTCACATTCAATTGATCGCCAGCTTAAGAATATTAGATCTCGTTGAATGTAAAACACGATACATTTTCTATTATACTTATTATTCGTTGTTTACCGGTGCGTCATTACTTCGCCAAACGGTCCACACCTACGGTAAAGCTTCCTTCCTGTCCAGAAAATTTTCTAATCCAATACGAAATTTCCGTTTGTATTTCGAACTTGCTTTCTAGCTTCTAAATCATTCCTATATAGGAATAGCATAGCATAGCATTAATGTACGAAAACGTTCTCCGAAGGACTATCAGGTATTGAATTTGTTGTGCTTCAACTTGGTAGAGCAATTGAGTATTAGATACTTGATGGTGACCCCCTATTTCTTTGGCTTCTCGTTGTTGCCAGTCGACCAGCTAATTACCTAACCTGAATACAAAGAGAGAACTACTCGCGTGCCCTAGCGCAATGAGCTCGATAACGAAGAAGCTCAGACTTCAAACAGGAGTCAGAAACAGAATTGAACCCGATCCTACGTGCGGAGCTTGAGGATGTATCTGTTGCTAAATTACATGTGATCCCTCAAAAGTTATACGCATCATATCGGCTAACGTATTTCGTCTGGTTCTTACTTATGAAACGTAACGATTACTATCGCAACGATTATTCTTACAGTTGTCTGTCATCTTCGAGAAAAGTTAATCGACACTGCCATCAACTTCCATCACCTATCCAAGTCAGGTCTGGTCACTGCTCCGGCTGGCGCATCTCCATCAAGTCGTCGGCAAGCAACAAATACCGTCGGATGCCTTCGCCTCCGTTAACCCAATCGATTAACGGTTACTGAAATGATCAGCATTCAGAAATAAGGAACGGCCCGGAGCGGCTTATGATCTGAGCATATCAAATCGAACAGCAGAAGAAGGGCTTGCAACAAAGAGGTGTGGAATTGCAATGCTGATTGAGCAGGTCCTGCTACCTGAGAGGCACCTAACTTTAGCCACTGTGCTGTTTTGCCTTGTTTCGCAACTGACTTTACTAGCAGACGGTGCGACTATTGTGGCCAGCAGAACGTGCACGTATGAGGTAGCATCTGAGGTAACCCTCTTACGAAAGCACCTAAAAAAAGGCTTTTGGACGTTTACATTAAGCCTACTCAGCAGGCACATAGATATTTGGACATGGCCTACAGCCTCGTACCAACACCTCCCTTGTTACACTTGACTGTCTCAAAAATAGATCGGTGAATAGCGGCCAACAATAGAAGACTGACTAAAGTGTTGTAAAGAAACACTAAGCAGTCACTGTAGTATTCGCTAGAATTGAGAGAATGCCGGCACTTAGTTTGCAATGAACAAATTAGTAATCGTTCTTTATACTCCATCGATCCCGGGTTCTCTACTAGACATATCGGCTATAAGTTTCAAGTTCCGTGCGCACATACTTGCCAAAATGTTCGGAATCTCCATATAAATAGCTTGGCAAGATCGCAAATATATTAAAGGTGGAATTGCGATACGCAGGTTGCGTTATAGTAATATAGATAAATATTAGCGATCGTAAGTATTTTCTGATATTGGCGAGAAATGATAATAATCAGCTCGCGTAGGAAACCTTCAGAGACTCAAGTCATGGCTCGTACGATCGCCATGTTGTCCGCCTGAAACATATCAGCCTCACGGTTACATGCTCCTGTACGACCCATTCATGCACAGTATACCTACCTATGCGCCACACTCCCTGAACAGTGATGATATATATCTACAGAGAGAGATATGTGTCATGTATCAGAGGGTGGTCAGTGTTGTATACAAGAGTAGCCTCAGTTGGCGGATGAATTCAACTGTCCTATCGTATACCGTAGAAGAAAAAATATTTATTGAATAGGTAAATGCGAAGTGAAATATACAGAATTTTATAGGATATGCGGAGGTTGTCTTCCGCCGTCTCATTAACGACAAAACACCACATCCGGATAACCCTGAACCTAAGGGCACCTAACCAGCATCATAACATGTGATGGGAGCTCAGATTCGTGAAAGCCAGTACGTATATTTCTCAAGTACCCCACCTTCAAGATCTTGCCAAGATATTAAGAATATTTCGACTGCTGATGATGTTTGATTCTAGAGAAGAAATGCAAACAAGGATTTGCTTTACTCCTTTGATGGACCTTTTCTGCAAACCCCCAAGCGGTCTTTTCTAAATCTAAAAAGTGCGTTATCTTCGATATGCATCCCTTTGTCTCACAACGGAGCTTTTCAAACAAACAAACCTATTAAAATAATAGTTCCTATTTACTGATCTGCTTTTCTCATTTTTTTTGTTTGCTGATCGCCACCTATTATTGTGTTCATTATTTCATATCAGTTTTAGAATTTTGAGCTTGCGTTATAAAGGTGGATATCTTTTAGGTAAAAAAAAAAATGCTACCAGAGTTATTATGAATGTTTATGGCGTGCACGAAGTGATAGGATATAGTTAAGAGCTCTATTCTAAGGTGGACTACTACGTTTAAATAAGATTTTCAGGTCCAATGCAAATTACCTTTAGCCATCTTTGAAAAAAGATACTTGCTAGTTGAGCTCGCACCTCTTCGATAAAACAAAATTCTTAACATCTGCGAAGTAAATTTCTTAGGTTGCTTCTGCAGTTTTTTCGTCATTGGCGGAAACGCCCGTGTCGCAAATTCGCTTCTTTTTCACCCAACATGTTTTTTTGGGGTTCGAAACCCAAGTAAGGGTGGTGCAACACCTTAAGCAATGTAGTGTTCGACAATATGTACCATTAGCAGACGAAAGATAAGAACAGAAAAGCCCAAATAACTTAGCGCAACTTAACTTAAACTTAAAACTAAGTAAATCTACTAAGATACATAGAATCACCTAGTCGTTAAGAGCCAATATATGTACTATGAAAGACACGTATAGGCTTTTCAGTGCTGCGCATCGACATTGCTCGCTACAGAGCAGGTTGACTATTATATCACGTACGATAGACCTGCTGGATATGATGTTACGCGACGGAAACAATTAGTAACAATGTACAATTGTTATCAAGCAGTTATTGCTAATTATGTAGTTCAGGAAAAGTCAATGTAATTTCAGTATATGTTACTTACACACGTGGCATAGATTCCGTTGTGCCAGTGCGGGTATCATCGATTCAAAAGACCGTATTTCTTTTCTACTTATGAATACGAATAAACAGTACACAACATGTGTGATGAGACAATTACTTCAGCGCTTTCCCGCTCTGTCTCGGTTTCGTTTGCCCTATCAGGGTCTTCCTTGTTTCCCCTTTCGAGTTCGCAAATAACAAAGGACCATGCGGACCACCGAATCGTATTAAATAGTACAGAACTTCATAGTTAATTAATACCCACTTAGACAATAATTCCTGTGTATATGTAGAAGTTTTGCCTTGGCAGCACCGTTCGCGATGCTCCGGTGGCTTTTCATGTTTACATATGTATGGGCACTCATACATGCCCACGCTACGGGTTATACAACAGACGTAGTCTCATATTTAGTTTTTCGTACGAGGTAGTTATGATGGACACATATGGACGTGTTGACTCGGTGACTGTGACTACAGTCCCATATTCAGACCCCTCAAAACTATAGTTCGCAGAAATTCAGAGTTGCGTACCACCATGTATACTCGATTCGTTCTAACAATCTACATGTATTTATCCAGTTAAAAACATATCTGATGTAAAATATATATATACAAACAGCTAGACAAATATATATATATATATATATACGGCTATTTAAAAATGTTGAAAAGCAGACAGAGGAAAGGGTGAGAGAGACATGTTACTAAGGACAAAAAGTTGCTTGTTGATGTTGAACAAGTGCAATACTGTTACTTTTACCATAAGAACAATACACGTGATGAAATATACGCGTGATAAAGGAGTGATGTTCTTTAAGTTGCCTGAAGTTCATCACGTCGGCTTTAGCTTAATATGCCAGGTAATATCGTTATCGCGTTAGTTATAGATGATTAGCCAGAGCAATCGAAGACTTAAGAAACTCTACTGAATTTCGCCTACGGTGAATTGAATATTTGCGCTAAAATGTTCAACTCAAGTGACCAAACATTGCTTTATAAGAATGCGACCTGAGTATAGACCAAGAAACAGGACCCAAGAGATAGCCATTGTGGTATTCAGGTTGATTTCAATGTAATTTGGCCAAATCGTGCCGAGTTGTGTTGAATTTCATACTCGATACCACTACTGAGCATGACATCAGACGGCCGGCTCCCCGTACCAAAAAACGCTAGTCCCTCCAGTTTAGCAGGGAACACGCTATTCAGTACGCTATCACATCGCACCTACAAAAATCTTTACTTTATTTAATAGTAAATAAGGCAATGAATGAGGTGAGTCTTGATTTACCGAGATAAGTGGTGACGAGCAGTAAGACACTGTGTATTGACAACAAACCCTTAGCCTATACCGAAATCAAGCTATTGTCCTATACAAGCCGAAATAACCTTGAACAGAGGATTACACATGTTAGACTCCAATGGCGTAAAAGTTATCAACGCTTTACGTGGGAAAATACACAAATAGATCGCAATGTGCGTCAATTGAGCTGATGATTTGTATAACGAACGGCTTGGAAAATTCCTTGGACTGTATTCTAGTAGGTAAATAAAATGGAACGCGAAATTAATAAACATCGTTGCGAGAGTAGTTTAATGGTTGTTTTCAATATGATTATTTCACTGGATAGTTATTTGAAGTTGCTTGTTAAGTTGTTCTCGGTCAAGTGAAACCCAAATAATCGCGTTATTTTTGATGCATTGCCGTTCAGCATCTGCTGTCTGCTAGAAGTCCGTTATTTCTGTGAAACGTGGTGTGGCACTCTTCCATGTGTAGATTTCATCGTTTAATAACTCTGCAGTATAATTATTTTGCTCTAGTATAGAAACCATTATAAAAAAAAAAAAAGGGAACAAATGAGGCCTGTTGCCTATAAACAACAAGTTGGTTCAGTAGCTTTGAGGCAATGGGGTCTCGCAACACAGAGCTGACATGTCAAGTTAAGCAATATAACGTTCGTCATTTTTGAACACTCGCATTGTTATAAGAACTCTGCCTGGAAGTGACTGATGCGCTTTTGTTTTCCCTTACGCCAATCATGTTCATAGTATAAAAAGAACTGTAAAAAAATTACCTTTCGGTCAAATCATCCAATGCGTCCCGTATTTGCCATTCGTAGCCCTCTAGAATCCTGTTATCGACACAAGTTAATTATTTTCGCTATACCTCTAAAGTTATACGTGCAACAGCATGTACTGAAAAAAGTTCAGAGGAACACAGTTATTAGTACCTCATATAGAGATGTTTATATATTCATATAGAGACAGATACTGAACTCGTCACTCGTCACGAGACAAGACAGCTGCTTTGCAATTTACATAATAAAAAGCTCTATACAGTCATTATTTATCATGGCAAGAGCCCCACTAGGCATGATTAATCTTTGGCGGGGGTCCACAGGACAATACTACATTTAATTTTAGCTAGTTTAACCGCTGTTTATGTACAAAAAGGGAGTATCGCCCAAATAAATCCCATTTGTTCCGCTGCTGCAATCACGATCGTTCGAGTGAGAGATTAGCCAATTCGAAAAAAATTAAGCTAAAACATTGTAACAATTGTCCTGAAATGTTTGTGGGAAGAGACGGCCGAAAGATGGTCTTATCGCTTTCATTGTAGAAATTTCCATGCCGAAGATACCCTCGGTACTCGTCGGCCAGTCATGGCAAAGAAATCATAAACTCGTACCAAAATTTGGGCAAATCCAACACGTCAGCAACGATATGCCCAAAGATTAAGTGCAAACACCAAACAGTTTTAGGCCATTAGAGAAAGTCGGCTAGAAAAAAGACATTTGGATGTTTTACGACTTGACGCTAGAAAATATATTCGATCAAAATGGAAATTATTTTTGTCAATACTTTCTAAAAACCCTTATTATATATATATAATATAAAGTAGGAGATAAAAATGATGATAGCGGTGCTCTTAGAAAGTTTTTCGCCTAAACTTAAATTTAGATTAAAAAAAAAAACTGCTTTCTTTTCAGATTCGTTGTAGGTGATCGTCTGTCTTGTTTAGTACGCATGCAAAGTTGTGAGACCTCAACTTAGGACCTGTATTTCATTTGCCTCCGAAATATCATTTGGTGCGGGTGGTAATAGGCCCTCTCAGAAGTTTGAGCGCCGACCTGCATTTAGCGAATCGGGGTAGTGGAAATGGATTTGTAACCTGCTGATTCGGCTTTACAGTATATCGTATCGCCGAACAAAAATACTTTCAAAATAAATAAATAATAAATTATTCTAACTGTTCTACCCAATAGCGAGCGTCGTGCAAGCATTAATTTATAATAATAATTAAAAAAATTCTATAATAAGTTAAATAGGCCATACGGTTTTTTTTTTAGCAGAAAGAGGCGGCAATAAATACCCTTATAGTTATGTTCCTTATAGACATGAGAACGTTGTATCTTTCAATATTATTTTGTTAGATGTTTTAAAATATCAAATGTTTGAAAATATGCCATAGAGGCCTACCAGAGAGTCAGCCAGATAGTCCAGAATAGCATCGTTCGATGTATCCTTTATAATGGATATATCAGTATCTATTCTAATCTAACCCAGCCATTGCTTGTCTGTACGCTCGCAGGAAGTACTCGAAAGGCTTTATGCAACCTAGTATAGCCCTTCTAGCCCCCGTCGCCAATGCGCTGAGCTTTATTTTGTGTGCTTAAAAGATAGGAATTCAATATGATATGGCGCTGAGATCAAGCTTCGGTGATCTTTCAAATTCTGTCATTGGATGGAGTTAGGTGATCGACAGTTATTTTATTAGTCATGGAATGACTTTTTCTAACCAAGATAAACAACGGCCAGCTTGGTAGTAGAGGGGTAAAGGCGAAAGACGAGGGGACGAGGCTCCATGCAACGGAAGTGCTACTTCGATAAGAAAATGGATTTGTTAGAAAGCTGGATCACCGCAGGAACGCTACTAGCGATCAGCGTCATTAACTCGCCGCTGTTTTGCCAATACTGGTTCAAAGGACTGTTATATGTGTCTAGTCACTTTATGGGATTCGTTTACTTTTCACGCATGATGCGTGGTGCATCATCAACCCAGATCTTCTTCATTCTATTGAAACGTGAAATGCGTTACGTTCACTTAGCCTTAAAACTGTTTACAACTGAGCAAATAGACATCGAAAATGAAAATATCTCTCTCAAACCTCTAGCAAAGACAGATACGTTCCAACAGATGATGATATATCACGTTGATGTATAATGTAAGGAGTTAAACTGTAAATTTTTCCAATTTTAATTAAGTAGACTTCTAGCAAACCGTTGCGTTCTCTCAAACAACTTAATATACCCCGATTTAGAAATTAGGCGATTTTATTAATGCAACTTTACCAGTAGGCATGATATAAAATAAATATGTCGAATATCAATGCGAGCCAACGTATATCCGTTCGATTTAATGTGGTGTATTGACTTTCGTCGTGTCCCACCCCATTTGATGTTCTGGGTCGGGTATTTGTGAGTTGAATATTTGACCATCCGTAAACTAAGCTATTGATACAAAACGACAGCAGCAGCGGTACAACAGGAAATTTGGTTTTCAAAAGACCGATAGAAATAGTGGTTGTCCTATCGTTTTCTATTTACGAAGCCGACACACAGTGCAGATTGTTTGGATAATCTGTAAATGCAAAAAATTCACATCGGCCTCCTCTAGTCCTCATCATGGATGTTAGACTAGAATGTCTTTTGCAAAACTTTTACAATAGAAAATCAGACGCCCTGACCGTTCTCGTATTAGAAATGGTAACCTTCTTGACAACCAACAACTCGAAACGCTAACTCTGCAGATATGGCAGACAAATAGTTTGTTTCTGATTACCTTCGCCTTGCAGCTTCTGTCCCACACGACTGAGCATGGAGGCGTAAAATGTATATGGACCTTTGTCTTTATTCAGAAATAATTTCTAGCGGTAAATAGTCAAATCTGTTAAAAGGCCGCGCGATTATCCAAGCTGCCAGCCCTTTTCTGGGTCCGATTCGTCAAATGCTGTGAAATTGCTTCCTCTAGATCAGAGTATAATTTTTCCAAAAATCAAAGAGGGCATTTCACTAATTTCAATATACAAATAATTTCAAATCGGCCTTTTTTTTTCGTATATCTCTGAAACGGTCATTGGACCAAGGAGCAACAAGTCTATATATACAAGAAACGTAGGTTCAACGTAGGTCCGGTTCAACAAAACGTAGAAAGAAGGCGTTCCGCTTTTAAAGCACTTAGTGATTGATGTCACCATCGGCCAACGGCGTTTCCTGCCCAAGTCAAAATGGCCAGCAGACTGGCCTCGATTTAACGAGTGGAGCAATATTTAAAAAAGGTGACCGATATACTCGTTCAGGCGTTCCATCCGTGATAATTGTACTCAGCATATACTCGTACCTAGAGTAGAGTTACCAAAGATACGATTGGTAACATGAAAGATGTTATACTACTTATGAGGGTGATAAGTAAGCAAACGTCCGTGCTGTACAAATTTAGAAATGCTTCTCGTTAGCATGATCATTTGTGCGAAGCGTTACTTTTCCGATGAACGAACCAGTGGAATATAAGGCCAAATATTTCAGTCAATATTTTTCATTTCGCTTCTTAATAAAGCTTGACTGGATCTTATAAAGCATCTATTTTTAGAAACCATACCTATCGAGGTTGCGTCGCAGAGGTAATTGCCCTAAGGCTAGCATGAAGAATGACAGAGATGTTGTTATCCTTCACAGTACAACCTTCGCTTGTCCGGGTGATAACCATGAATCGGACATTTATTCCTTTGGACGTTCAATGTCCAAGTTGTTTGGAATGAATCTTTATGAAACTGCAATTACTGGGCCTTCATCTTCATTGCCTTTGCTGATAATTACAAGCAAAATTTGCTCGTCCTTCTGGAACCGTTGGCCACGATTTTCCGTTGACACGAATTGTTTAAAGTCTGTACGTAAAGTCTTCCCAGTGTTCACGACACGTATTCAGTGATTAAATATAGAATTCTACGGAATCTTTCATACATTCTAGTTACTACTATTTGTTGAAAGGAAGACTATTTCGAGGACGAAATCGATAGTCTTCTTGAAGCCTCCGTTGCTACCGACTATAAAAACTGTTTTCCACCGTACGCGTTTCTGATCGCCTCGGCAAAAATGCGATGCCTCAATCGTATTGTTATCTTCTTCTACTGTATCCGCATATATCTATTGTTAGTATATATATAAATGGCGCTATAATCATCTGCAAGCCCAGCTGCATTGGGAGGAGACTAAACTAGGTACCCTTCAAGCTTCCAGCGAAACATCAACTAATTAATGTTTCTTAATTATTATTAATATAAAATTATTAAAAATTAATCACCTTCTGTAACACAGTAAAAATATCGACGGGCTCTAGTAAACCGAATGATGTATATCAGTTTGTCCTAAATAGTAATATATGTAGGGCGAATCAGTGATCTTTTGCCATGCGTAACTCCGAGAATAGAAGTCTTGGCCTAAAGCAAATCAGCTCAACATTGTTGCAGATCTATACAAAATGAACATCTATTAAATGTAATGAAATAACACTTGTTTTTGCTCCCTTTTTTA